GTGTTAGACTTTTGACAAGATCTCAACGATTGGTTTCTCTTTATTAAATCTTACGGTACGTACAGAAAGGTAAATAAATTTGGAAGCCATCAGTAATAATAACATTTCGTTTGATGCTAAACTGTGCTAGATTAAGAAAGACTAAGTGCGCGTTGTGCTTAATTGGCCGGAAAGGGGGTAGTTAACCCTACTAAGAATCTCCACTAATTGTATGTACTGCTTGGAAGCCTCACCCAAGCTAAGAATTATTTTCAAATAAGACAAACTCCTGTGGAATAATTCTGCCATTTCCATCTCGCTACACTTCTCTATATATCACTGATGCAAAAAATTTCGCTGGCCGCTTCTGATACACAGTGAACAGTCGATACAGCAGCGCCGTTGAGTTATCGAACACATCGTTGTAGATCCCTACTGCTTTCGCCCGGATCGCCAACTCGTCAGACTCGGACCAATGCCGCAACAATCGAATTGTGGTGGAGCAGATCACATCCAATCCAGACAAAATCCACTTTTGCTGATCCGTTTGCTTCTTCGTATGTGCAATCTTCCAGCAAGCAAGCGCATTGCACTAATATGTGTCGTTTATCCTGAAAAAGTAAAATTTATTATACAGAATCCAGAATCCAAAATCAATTTGATAACGGCACACAAGCATTTGTAAATAAACTTTCTAAGGCCCTTTACACGCGAATACCAATACCACTTTCGGAAAAGTGATAGTTGTCCCTATCCGATGATGTTGGTTTGCGTGGGCGTACTTTGGTTCGCGTGTAAAGGACCTTAGAAAGTTTGTTTACAAATGCTTTTATGCCGTTATCAAATGTTATGGCTGAACTAAACTTACCACCTTCCCACTGAACTTCACCGCCTCGTGACAAACTCCAAGCAATGCCTGCAAATGCAGTAGGTCCTCCTTCCTATCACCATCCACCGACTCCCCGAAAACCGTCAACAGTTCCGCTACGGAGGAGTTCTGTCGATGTCTTCTCGGTCGCGGTTCACTCTGACTTTGGTTAGAAGCACGGACTGAAGAAATCTGTAGCAACAATGGCAACAAGCGCGAGTCTTTGACAGCTCAACATCGTTTACTTCTAAGCAAATGTTAACCCGATGTGTTCACCCCTAATCATTTTGGCATATGATCTTTTGTTATACAAAAGAAAAGCAGATAACAACTAAACGTCATAATGACATGCTGTTTGACAACAGGCTCTCCCTTTAAATTTTCGTTAGAGAAAAAGAGATAACATACGGTACTTCCTACTTTAAGCTAGTACATATGAGTAGATAGTGTTGCCGTGAGGTACACTCGAAAACTGCAAATGTAAGTGCGTCAAATCAAATTTCGAGCCGCTCCGTCTGTCACTTCGTTTGTGCCTAGGGGGAGGGGGGATTGGTACAACTGGGGTATAGATTTGGATCCAGTTGCTGATTGGTTGATTTTCAAGTTTAGGATTGGTTTTTGTTTAAATAGGTAAAACATTACTGTCAGAGCTGTTTGTACTGATTATATCTATCTAGACTATAGTCTATATATAGATATATCTAGAAGTGTGGTAAAACATTACTGTCAGAGCTGTTTGTACTGATTCTATCTATCTAGACTTTAGTCTATATATAGATATATAGATATATCTAGAAGTGTGGAATTTTTTAAGCGAACGTGCGTTTATTGAGAACACATACAATCATTTGGGGCCTTGCTTAGCTCAGTCGGTAAAGGCGCAGCTATAAAGCATGACCATGCTGGATGTAGCTGGACTCGATTCCCAGTGCGGTCTAGAATTTGGGTTGGAAAATTTCTCGACTTCTGTGGGCATAGAGTATGATTGTATTTGCCTCACACTTATACCAACAATCAATACGAAACTAACGATTTTAAATTGGCTCACCACATTAGTAGCACAAACGAAGTGACAGACGGAGCGGCTCGAAAACTTTGGTGACTAACCTGCTATTTCAATTTTTCAGTGTACCTCACGGCAACACTATCTACTCATATGTACTAGCTTAAAGTATATAGTTGATGCTATTGGCCTTGACGGCGAATCTATAGCTCTTTACTCCTATGGTAAAATCCGTAAGCAAACGTCAGACTGTGCGTGAAATTTACTTTCAAAAACGAAGAGGTTCGCAAGTGGTGCTGGTGCTGAAGAGTATGAACTGCTGTTGGATGATCAGATTGATTTCGTCCAGGCACTCCGACTGGATGGAACTAAAGAAAAGGACCGGAAAGCACCGGTATCTGAGGCGGAAAGGAAGAAGATGGACATTGAGGAAACGAAGAAATCACTTCCAGTTTTTCCATTCAAGGAGGATCTCATAGCCGCTATAAAAGAACACCAGATTCTTATTATCGAAGGAGAAACGGGTTCGGGAAAAACGACACAGATTCCACAGTATCTCTATGAAGCTGGGTTTACAAACGACGGCAAGAAGATTGGATGTACTCAGCCTCGTCGCGTGGCAGCGATGTCCGTGGCGGCACGTGTTGCACAGGAAATGGGCGTCAAGTTGGGCAACGAAGTTGGTTATAGTATTCGTTTCGAGGATTGCACATCCGAGCGGACTGTCATTAAATACATGACAGATGGTACGTTGCACAGGGAATTTCTTTCGGAACCGGACCTAGCTTCGTATAGTGTGATGATTATCGATGAAGCTCACGAGCGTACGTTGCACACGGACATTCTGTTTGGATTGGTGAAGGACATTGCGCGGTTTCGGTTGGATTTGAAACTACTGATTTCTAGTGCCACGTTGGATGCGGAAAAGTTTTCGGATTTCTTCGATGATGCGAACATATTCCGTATTCCTGGTCGTCGTTTTCCGGTACGTAGTTAGATTTGACTTGCTTTGTGTTTTGCTGTAAAATCTAACTTTTTCTCTTCTAGGTTGATGTCTTCTACACCAAAGCACCGAAAGCAGATTATATCGATGCATGTGTGGTGTCGGTTCTACAGATTCATGCCACTAAGCCTCTTGGAGACATTCTTGTATTTTTAACTGGTAAGTGGGTCTATTTCTATGCGATGTTAAAAAATTACATATTTTTTTCGTTCCAGGACAAGAGGAAATCGAAGCCTGCCAGGAGATGCTCCAGGATCGCGTCAAGCGGTTGGGTTCCAAACTCAAGGAACTACTCATCCTTCCCATTTATGCCAATCTGCCGTCGGACATGCAGGCGAAAATTTTCGATCCAACTCCGCCCGGAAAGTCGTACTGGCCACCAACATCGCCGAGACATCACTAACCATCGATAACATAATGTACGTGATCGATCCGGGCTTTGCAAAGCAAAATAATTTTAACTCCAGAACCGGGATGGAGACCCTGATGGTCGTGCCCATTTCGAAAGCGACTGCCAATCAACGTGCAGGTCGAGCAGGGCGCGTTGCCTCTGGCAAGTGCTTTCGTCTGTACACAGCCTGGACATACAAACACGAGCTGGAAGACAACACCGTCCCGGAAATTCAGCGCATAAACCTGGGCAATGCCGTGCTAATGCTCAAAGCTCTTGGAATCAACGATTTGCTTCATTTCGATTTCCTCGATCCTCCACCACATGAAACGTTGGTTTTGGCATTGGAGCAACTTTACGCCCTAGGGGCATTGAATCACCACGGTGAACTGACCAAACTTGGACGACGGATGGCGGAATTTCCGGTCGATCCCATGAAGGCAAAAATGCTGCTTGCTAGTGAAAAGTACAAATGTTCCGAGGAGGTGGTGGCCATCGCTGCAATGCTATCGGTGAATGGAGCCATCTTCTACCGACCGAAAGATAAAATCATCCACGCAGATACGGCCCGGAAGAACTTCAACCACATGCACGGGGACCACTTGAGTTTGCTGCAGGTCTACAACCAATGGGCCGAATCGGACTACAGCACTCAGTGGTGTTACGAAAATTTCATTCAGTTCCGTTCGATGAAACGAGCTCGCGATGTCTGGGAGCAGCTGGTTGGGTTAATGCAGCGAGTCGAAATCGAAATGGTTTCCAGTCTGCCGGAAACGACCAACATCCGGAAGGCTATTACAGCCGGGTACTTTTATCACGTCGCTCGGCTCTCCAAGGGGGGGTCACTACAAAACGGCCAAGCACAATCAGACGGTGATGATCCATCCAAATTCGGCACTGTTCGAAGAACTGCCTCGTTGGGTGCTGTACCACGAGCTGGTGTTTACGACGAAGGAGTACATGCGGTCGGTGATTGAAATCGAAAGCAAGTGGCTGCTGGAGGCGGCACCGCATTACAACAAACCGAAGGAGCTCGAGGATTCCACCAATAAAAAGATGCCGAAAACGATCGGTCGGGCCACGCTGACCGAGGCGTAGGTTGTGATGAGACGGTTTGGGGTAATTCAAGAGCATTTTTCGCACTATGTATTCAACGAGAATTGTTGTTATTTGCGATGACATTATCCTACCTAGGGTGTCGGGTGTAAATTAGGGATCTTTAGGGACAAATAGGTGAAATATAAGGTTGCTGCAACCATGCTATATTGTATGTCAGTAGAGAGCTTCATAAGGCTAGCCCGTCTAATCCCAGTCGCGCTCCTTTCCGTTTCTTCAGGTCCGGTTAGGTGGATTAGGTATTCTCTGGCACGCCGAAGCCAACTGCAGGGCTGTTACAAGTGTCGCAAATTTTGTGCGGTTTTATAGCTTTTGAAGTGCGGATTTTGCGGAAAGCTTATCGACATTGAACACATTTTTTTAAATGATATTTTAGCTTGCCCAACCAACTATTAATAACTTTACTGCTTTACTTCTTTATTAAATTATAGAAGGTCTTTCTAAACGTAGATTTTCCTGGAGTCTTCAAATAATTAGAATCGAAACTTAGTTGAATTAACCCTAAGTGGAACTAATCCGCGCCAAAGCAAATCTGAGATGGCAGTCCACGAATACCTCAGATTTGCGAATTTAGCGTAGTCGTAACAATGCCGTCCTTGACGGGAACTAACAAAGTTTATACTATTTCAAACAATCGCTGATAGGAAGTTTTTTCGCCAAGTGAATGATGAAATACTCACAATGATTTCACTGTCTAAGATTTATTGCTGTCTCTAATAGCATATGTAGCAAAGCTATACATTATTTTTCTCTCGTCTCAATACCTACTTACTACCAAAAGTGGATGTGTTAATAACACAATCAATGATTAACAATTAAAAAAAAACCCTCACTGAATTCAACCATACACAGCAGAACATACAAAATCAAATCTCTCTTTAAAATATGCCCCGACCCGTCCGCTCTAATGCTGCGACCACTGGATCGACTTGATGTCGATACCTTCCAGGACCATCTCCCACAGCGGGGACATCTCTCGGAGTCGAGTCACGTGCTTGATGCACTTTTCAGCTATGTAGTCGATTTCCTCGATGGTGGTAAACCGTCCGATGCCAAAGCGAATCGAGCTGTGAGCCAGATCTTCGTCGGCACCAATCGCACGCAGCACATACGACGGTTCCAGCGAAGCCGAAGTGCAAGCCGACCCACTCGAGAGGGCAACGTCTTTCAGCGCCATCAACAGCGATTCACCCTCAACGTATGCAAACGACAGATTGATACATCCGGGATAAGAATGAACTGGATCGCCATTGCGGATGACTTTCGGTAGCGATGCGAAGATTTGGTCCATCAGGCGTTTCGAGAGAAACTCCATCCATTTGTGATCGTACTCCATTTCACGGATAGCGATTTCACAGGCTTCCCCCAATCCAACGACCAGTGGAGTCGGAACGGTTCCACTTCGAATGCCACGCTCCTGGCCACCTCCGCTCTGAATGGCTTCCACACGAACTCGAGGACGAATGCGAGTTGAATGCGAGAGGCTCCCAAACATACAAACTTTGCTCTTTCATTATCACGACGTTCTTATGCATAATCTAGTGTGACGTAACGTTGGATCATGCGTAAGAACACCGTGAGAACGAAGGAGTCGACTACATTCTTTCTGCCGCACCTATAGTACCGCACACGGTTCCCGCGCTGACTGTTCCTTACTTTCTCACTCTAATCAAAATTTCCTTCGATGAGTGAGAAAACAGCACCCCGTCAACGCGAGTGAGAACGCGAGTTGCCAGATCATTGCACACAAAACCAACTTGAATTAATTCAAATCAAAAATACTAGCGAACCTGGCGGTGAGCGGCGGAAAGTGGTCTAAAATTCTATTACAGAGAACCACCTTATTTTAATTAATTTCTTCGGAGAAAGTCGTCTGTAACTTCGTTTGTGATTAGTAGCCTATTGGTCCCAAGCAAACGATTAACGTACCCTATTCTAGTTGAAATTCTATTACTACACTATGTTTGTTTTGATTCGCTATGAAAGTTTGACAGATAACATCAGGGATGTGTGGATTCATGCAGAACATGCAGGGGTGAGTGAAATAGCTTGGGACTGCTTGGGACCGTTGTTCTGGTACTGAGTGAGCCAAAAATAATAATGATTTTCTTCGGGACCCAGTAGTCTTAGAGTTACCTCTATGCTTATACTAAGGCAAAAATGGTACAGGCTTAGAAAGCTCTTAATTAACAACTATGGAAGTGCAATCTAGGTCTAGAACACTAAGTTGAGAAATGGCGTAAAGTTTCAGTGGGGACTTAATAAAGCCAAAAGAAGAAGATGAATTGGTGAAGTGAGGTGAGGTGTGGTGAGTTACAAAGTTTCATGATAACCGGAGAAGGTCGCGTCGGATTCGCCTTTCTGCAAATAGGAAGTAGTAGTCCAGTAGAAACAGAAGTAGATGACTGAGCAAAGGCATCATGCTCGATGTTGAATCGTAATTAATGTTTCAAAGCCACAGCAAATATATCATATTATCAATATGATCCATTCATGCCTTTTCCAAATGTTGCAATGGCGACCCGCAAAATATTGCTTCACGCACCATCTAGCGTTGAAAAAGGTCAGTAAAAATCATTCAATTACAATCGAGGGGTGCGAATACAGCACTTATTACCAAAGTAAGAGTCAAATTATTTTCATTAATTACATTGTGTATATTACTTTAAAATTTGTCTGACATGTCACTGTGGTCATCAAATAAAATAAAATGCTGAAATACATTCATTTGAAATATTAAACAAATTTTCATTTGGTTTACCCCTCGTGATGATAAACAAATACATTGATATCCTTTTTGGCCACAGAGGTGCTTTCATCGCTAAAAATTCGGTTCGCCAGCTAAGCGAAAGAGTGGATCATATTGTTAATATAATATATTTGGCCACAGTCTATGTTTAAACTGGAGAGTTATGGCAGGATTTAAAACTATCTTGATTAAGTATATTTGTGACATCAATGTTATAACCAACAATCAATACGAAACTAACGATTTTAAATTGGCTCACTACTTGACTAGCCTATTGGTCCCAAGCAAACGATTAACGTATCCCTTTCTAGTCGAAATTCTAGTACAACGCAATGTTTGTTTTGATTCGCCTTAAAAGTTTAACAGATAAAATGAGGGGTTATTGGTTTTTCCTATGTTTCGAGGGGTGAATCGATTAGCTTGGGACCGAAGAGAGTACCAGAGCTGAGCCAAAAAGTTGAGCATATTATTTCGGGACCTTCTAGTCTTAGAGTTACCTCTTTGTTATAACTCTGTAGCCTGAACAAGACATTCGAATGTTGCCAGTTCGTAACCAAACATATCGAAAACTTGAAAACATTTTATGTTACTCATATCAATCAACGTATGAAGAACTGCGGAAATTCTACACCTGCGTGGGCATTTCCAGACAGGCATGGCAAAAGAAAAAAAATCTGTGCTTGTTTAGAAGGTCACTTCAGCATAAGCGAGCAGTAGATTGTGTAAAGGTAAATGTCCGTTGGCAAAAAGTATCATTCAATATTCCTCACTACCTGTACCCATACCATCACGTGAAACAAATGAACCGGCCAGTTCGGTGCTTATATTGTATATCGATGCGCGCGAGCAGCTCCTATGTTTTCTCTGTTCAAACAGTTGGTTCTCAACAGTTGTATAGAGTGCATAATAATCTCGTGATCGTTCGTATCAATTTCGCTAGGTGTTAATTTTTGTGAAATATGTTCTGTTATTTGTGAATGTTTGTAGTATATATGATCAATACTGCTCACTTAAAATACTGCTCATATAAACGGATGCATAGTGAATCGCCGTGCCCCATCGGAAACTGATTGAGATTGCTGATTGAAGGCACAAGTCACGTGACTACTCTGGTAGTACGAGTTAGCATCTATCCATATTTGGTGGCACTGAAATAGATACATGAATTGCAAAGCTTCCGTGCTTATTTTGCCATTACTATGAGGCGTAAGTAACTATTTCATGTAGTAGTATTTTTCATTCAGAATTATCATTGGTCACGTGCATAGAATTTATGTTCCCGGACATAGTGACCTTTATACTAGAACTCTAAACACTCATGTGATGAATATGTACCTATAATCAACTTTCACAACAGTGAAACATTTAGGTAATTTATTATTCTGGTGCTGGAAATCAAGTGCGGATTTCAAAAAGATGACTGTATCCCTATAGATATAGTTCCGACCATTTTTCACCGTTGCCGAATTCCATCTGCAATGAATTAAATCTCCCAAGCAGGTGTATAGGTTCGAATCACACCAATAGATCATTGCATGATGACGTCATCGACACAGTTTTGGCAGTTCAGGGTGTTTGTTTACATGGACTTAGTTTTTTTTTCGGTTGCATCGTTATGCAAATAATCAGGATTGAAGTTTTTCAGGCTGTAGACATACACTTGTGCTAACTTGAGTTTCAAAATGAAATCGTTAACAATCTGAAAAAAGGCCAGGGAAAATTTCGTTTTTTGGTTTCAAATTCTTCAAATTCAGCTTGCGTGTAAACAAGCTCCCTGAACTGTCAAAAAGTGAGGTTGTACTTTTCAGGGCAATGATATCTACTCTGACGTTTGTTAATGATCAAGTATTTGGGTAAATTGTAAGTATAAGCCTAACACTAAGACCAACAATCAATACGAAACTAACGATTTTAAATTGGCTCACTACTTCAGTAGCCTATTGGTCCCAAGCAAACCGTTTAACGTATTCCATTCTAGTATAAATTCCAGTACTACACTATGTATGTTTTGTTTCGCTATGAAAGTTTGACAGATAAAATGAGGGGTTCGTGGATTTTCCTATGTTTCGAGGGGTGCATTATTAGCTTTGGACCGAAGAGAGTACCAGAGCTGAGCCAAAAAGTTGAGCTCGTTTCTTCGGGACCTTGTGGTCTTAGAGTTACCTCTATGCTATCTACCTCTATCATGGTCCCGAAGGAACATGCTCAATTTTTTGGCTCAGGAAGTACCAGACCTTCGATCCCAAGCCAATTGAAGCACCGCTCGATGTGTAGGAAAATCCACGAGCCCCTCATTACACTCTGTAAAATTTATAAGGCCAATCGAAACAAACACAGATTCTAGTACGATAATGCCGTAAGCTTATAGATGTACATTCTGATATATTAGTTTAGTTGTCGATAGTTTACAATCATGTTTGTCATTCGCCCGGTTTACACGTAGCATAGTATAAAAAGTATATGTACTATCTTCAGTATATATTTTAAACCAGACCGGATTTGTACGGGTGTATTTTGGCCAGCGTTTTCTTTAGTAAACAATCAGCACCGTGGCACCGCATCGCTGCAATGTCGGGTCGATATTTGTGAAATTTGTGAAAAGAAACATTCTGGTCACGGGATTGGATCGAACACGCCTCAGATTTGAGCGTGTGAATCGTCCTCCCTGGCGGAATTGTTTGTCAACAAGTGACGGAGAGTTGTGTTCTTGAAATAAATCAAATCAAATCTTTTTTAGATATGAACTAGCCTAAGGCTAAAAATCTCTTTAATAAAGGCTTAAAAAAAATCAAATCTTAAATTGGTTTATCAACTGCACATTGAAAGATTTAATATGTAACTAGTTTAAAAGAACGATTACCAAAGGAACGTCCTTTGTATGGAAATGGCTCATTTAAACAAGTCACATATCAATTCTGTCACTGTTATTATCATAATTATGATCCTTTGGACCATCAAAACAAACCTGGGGCGTGGAAATCGGTTCTGGAATAAACCAGCATTAAACCATAGAGGCAACTCTAAGACTAGTAGGTCCCGAAGAAATGTGCTCAACTTTTTGGATCAGCTCTGGTACTATCTTCGGTCCCAAGCTAAACGATTCACCCCTCGAAACATAGGAAAATCCAGTAACCCCTCATTTTATCTGTCAAACTTTCATAGCGAATCAAAACAAACATTGTGTAGTACTAGAATGGGGTACGTTAATCGATTTGCTTGGGACCAATAGGCTAGTCAAGTAGTGAGCCAATTTAAAATCGTTAGTTTCGTATTGATTGTTGATTAAACTACGCATGTATATTCAAAAGATATACCACCAATCTATACGAAACTATCGATTTTAAATCAGGGGTTTGACATATAGCTGAATACATGTACTCAACATCAAAACAACAAAACATATCACAGACAAACAGACATAACACTCGCAAGTTGTTCATCGAACAAGAATTTAACGGTCAATTTAAAAGTATCGAAGTTGGTAGTACCGCCACCTGCGGCGCGCATAGTCAATTCCCTTGCGTTTGACGTTTACACACTACCGCCATCTGTTCAGCGTACTACCCACCACAGTGTACTCAACAGATGGCGGTAATGTTTTAGTGACGATGTTTTACAGTGAGAAATATTCAATATGTTATGTATGTTTGTCTGTGATATCATGGTACCACTGACAACGTTGCAGATGTTCGGTACGCAGCAAACTTAAGCGATATGACAGCCATATCCATCCCCTGTTTTAAATTGACTAGCCTATTGGTCCCAAGCAAAATGATTAACGTACCCCATTCTAGTCGAAATTCTAGTACTACACTATGTTGGTTTTGATTCGCTTTGAAGTAATACCTTGTACAGACATACAAAGTTCACTGTTGTAATACCGTTGTACCATAGAGGTAACTCTAAGACCACTGGGTCCCGAAGAAAATCATTATTATTTTTGGCTCACTCAGTACCAGAACAACGGTCCCAAGCAGTCCCAAGCTATTTCACTCACCCCTGCATGTTCTGCATGAATCCACACACCCCTGATGTTATCTGTCAAACTTTCATAGCGAATCAAAACAAACATAGTGT